ATGGAAGACATATTACAGAAATTGAGATGATTTTGACTGGTTTTACAATAAAAGGTGCCTTGAAATTGAGCTCAAAGTAGCAGAAATGTTCGATTTTTACCAAACTTCAAAAGTAAACAAATCGTGCCAAGCATGCAATACACGTCAACTGGTGAGTCTAATATTCTTTCACAAGTGCACCAATAATATTTATACCATTTTTTACACTAATGCAGTAGTCTGCATAACAGTAAATCTTATATTTTTTGTGAGAATAAAAATTCAAAGTGGAAAGTAAAAGAATATAAGAGGGGCCTTGAGACGTGACTAATGACTAGAGGAAATGTCATTTTAGTGCCAGGAATGTCTTTCTTGTTTATTCTGGACCCTATTCGGAAATTGGCATCTTTTGAAATTTGTGTGAAATTGGCAAAATTGCTAAATTCTGACCACTGTACTGGATAGTTGAATTTCATAAATGGGTGGTTTCTTGCACCCATTCGATAGAAAAAATGGAGTTCTAGCGAAATATTCATGTTTTTTGTCGACTAGTACAGTGAAATTGGCCGAAAATGGGGCTCAAAGTGGGCAAAATCGCCGATGCGTAAACATCGCCGACACCGCTAACTTTGCGAGAGCATAATTCCGTAAGTTTTCTATCAAATTTCAAACATTTGGTGTCTTTATGATCGGGAAAAGATTCTCTATCTTTTCATAAGAGAAAATAATTTTTTTTTTTTAAATTTGGCCGACCCTGAGAACGAGTTTCGGAGAGGGCCTGTCGACCCTCAAAGGGTTAATACCCATCTTCCACTTATACACTTCGATCAAGTCTCCCCTCATTCTTCGTCTTACAAGTGTATGTAGTTTAAGAGTCTTCAGTCATTCTTCATACGGAAGATTTCTAATACTATGTATTAATTTAGAAATTCTACGCTGGATGTTTTCTAGCAAATTTATATCCATTCTGTAATATGGAGACCAGAACCGAGCTGCATAATCTAGGTGAGGCCTTACTAATGATGTATAAAGCTGTAAAATAACCGCTGGACTTCTGTTGCTTACACTTCTAGATATAAATCCCAGTAGTCTGTTTGCTTTGTTATGTACGCTTAGGCACTGCTGTCTTGGTTTAAGGTTGCTGCTTACCATAACCCCCAAGTCCTTTTTTGCAGTCTGTATGGCTAAGTTCTATGTTATTTAACTGATAAGTACTAGGGTTATGGACACTCCCAAGCTTCAGAACCTTGCATTTATCTACATTGAACTGCATCTGCCACTTTTCTGACCAGGAATTGAGTTTGTCTAAATCCTTCTGAAGTTCTGTGACATCTACGTTTGAATCAATTATCCTACCTATCTTTGTGTCATCGGCGAATTTGCTCATATCACTAGTAATTCCTTCATCAAGGTCATTTATATATATTATAAACAACAATGGGCCCAAGACTGATCCCTGTGGAATGCCACTTGTTACAGATCCCCACTCGGATTTAACCCCATTTAAGCATACTCTCTGCTTCCTATTGGTGAGCCATGACTCGATCCATGACAGCACTTTTCCCCCAATGCCATGAGCTGCCACTTTCTTTAACAGTCTCTGGTGCGGTACTCTATCAAAAAGCCTTACTAAAATCTAAATAAACAATATCGAATTCTTTATCATGGTCAACAGCCTCGAAAGCTTTACTGAAGAAGGTTAATAAATTAGTTAGGCAGGAACGGCCCCTCGTGGATCCATGCTGAGTATCATTAATCGAGCTATGCTAATCGAGATGGTTTCTTATAATATCAGCTATAATTGACTCTAGTAATTTGCCTACAATTGAGGTTAGGCTTATTGGGCGGTAATTTGACGGTAATGACTTGTCCCCTGCTTTAAAAATAGGAATTACATTAGCCATCTTCCAAATATTAGACACTACACCTGTTTGAAGAGAAATATTAAAAATATTAGTCAATGGTTCACAAAGTTCCATTTTACACTAAGAACCCTTGAAAAAGAAGTTCATCAGGGCCCGGGGATTTATTTTGCTTTAATCGGTCTATCTGTTTGATAACCATTTCACTAGTGACTATGATACTGCATAATTTATCATCTTCAGGCCCACTATAAAAATTTATTACTGGGATATTGTTTGTGTCTTCCCGAGTGAAAACCGAAAGAAAATAATTATTAAGAATAGAGCTCATTTCATTCTCCTTGTCAGTAAGATGCCCAGAGTTATTTTTAACCCATAAGCGGTCCAAACGTATATATACGTTTTTTCAACATTTGAAAGTACATATGTAAAAAAAAGTAATCTTTTTGTTTTTTTACATTTGAAAATGTGTAAAAAACTTTGATCTACTTTTTTTTTGTTATAGTTATTTGAAAATATGTAAAAAAAACGTAGATCTACTTTTGTAGCACTACACGTGTGAACGTAGATCTGCTTGGACCGTTTACAGGTTAAGGGGACCTATCTTATCTCTAACTTTTGTTCTGTACACCTGAAAAAAACTTTTTGGATTAGTTTTCGAATCCCTATCAACTTTAATTTCATAGTCCTGTTTAGCTTTTCTTATCCCCTTTTTAACATCCCTCTTAATGCCAATATACTGATTCATAAGATGACCCTCGCCTCTTTTGATGCGCCTATAAATTCCTTCTTTCTGTCCTAAAAGATATTTGAGCCTATTATTCATCCATTTTGGGTCATTTCTATTCGATCTAATTTCCTTGTATGGCATAAATGTCCTTTGGGCAGCATGTATTGTGTTAAGAAAGCTGTCATACTGATAGCTCTCTTCATCACCCCTGTCCACAGATAAGTGTTCTCTAATCCCATTGTAATCCGCTAAGCAAAAATCTGGGACCATTACTGAATTATCCCTGCTATCATACTTCCATTCAATGCTAAAGGTAATTGATTTGTGATTGCTTGTGCCGAGTTCCTCTGAAATTTCTAAATTATTAACGAGGGTTTCCTTGTTTGCCAAAACCAAGTCAAGCAAGTTATTTCCCCTTGTAGGCTCGGTCACAAACTGCCTCAAAAAACAATCCTAAACTACTTTTAAGAAGTCGTTTGATTCTAAATTCCCAGTCAAGAAATTCCAATCAATATGACTGAAGTTAGTCTCCTGGAATTACTACGTTATTGTGCCTTGTGGCCTTAACAATTTCCTCCCATAATAGTCTCCCTTGGTCCCTACCTAAGTTTGGAGGTGGGTATATCACACCTAAAATCAATTTTTCGTGCCCCTCTGAACATTCTATCCAAACAGACTCTGTATGTGTTACTTCAGACTTAATACCTGTTTTTATGCAACAGTTCAAGTGATCTCGGACATACAGTGCCACCCCATCCCCTTCCCGATACTTCTATCTACTTGGAACAATTTAAAACCCTGAATGTGACATTCTGAAGGTATGTCCCAACTTTTTGAATTAAATACATCAATACATCAATGTTACCTGCACTAGCAACTACTCTCAACTCATCCATCTTATTCATAGCACTACGGGTATCAGCATAATGTACATTTAAAGACCCTCCTTTTTGTTTATCCTTCCTGCTCATTTCTGTTTTTCCATTAAACCTATTACTGTCCTTGTCACCTAGTGCCACTGGCTTTCCAATATCCACCTCATTCTGCCTATTACTAGTTCCGATATATCAGTTGCCCCTCTTTAAATATGTACATCCTGAAGCCTACCCATCAACCTTTTATCCACCAATACATAATCTAACAAACTACTTTCATTATGTGCTATATCATACCTTTTATACTTATTTATCCTCTTTTTCATAAAATATGTATTACTTATTACCAAACTTCTTTCTACACATAGCTCAATTAAAGGCTCCCCATTTTCATTAACCCTGGCACCCCAAATTTACCAACTACTCCCTCCACAACATTTTTGCCAACTTTAGCATTGAAATCCCCAACCACAAGTACTCTCACACTTGGTTCAAAACTCCCCATGCACTCGCTCAACATTTCCCAAAATCTCTCTCTCTCTCCACACTTCTCTCTTCTCCAGGTGCATAAATGCTTACTAGAACCCATATTTCACATCCAACTCTTATTTTACTCCACATAATCCTTGAATTAATACATTTATATTCCCTCTTTTCCTGCCATAACTTATCCTTCAACATCATTGCTACTCCTCCTTTAGCTCTAACTCTGTTTGAAACCCCTGACCTAATCCCATTTATTTCTCCCCACTGAAACTCTCCCACCCCCTTCAGCTTTGTTTCACAAAAAGATTATTCACATGTACCCAACAATATATACTCTGATAATTATACTTGTGTATACCTGTACCTAAATAAACTTACACACTGTGCTGGCATGCAGGTACACATGTGGAGACAACTTGCACACAGTGTAACTTGTACACAAGCCAGACACGTTTGCCTGGTTTGTTTACATAACTCAGCACTTGTCCTCTCTCTTGTACTCATTCTCTCTCTCTCTCTCATTTATTCGATTTTATTTCTTTTACTCGCCTCTGGCCCTACATTAAGACTACAAATATTTTAAGGTAAGTAATGAGTGAACTGTATATGCATTTTATCGCTCTGGGACACTTTAAATGTCATAGAATATTATGTGTGGGTTGGGTGGCCTAGTATGGTTGGCAGCCTGGCTGGCTACCATACATCCCACACTTAATTTCTTACAATAAGTACTACTCATCTCACCCTACATTAAGGCTACAAATATTTTAAGGTAAGTAATGAGTGTACTATATGTGTATTTTACTTTTTTATTGTTTGTTTTTAATGCCTATTTCTATTGCTAACATAATATATGTTATTGTAAATTTATTATGTAGTATTTATGTGCATTTATTAGTGGAAAAAAAGGGCATTCCACTTGATGACGATTTCCACTTTATGGTGGTAGCCTGAAACCTAACCTACTATATAAGTGGGGCCCTACTGTATTCTTTTATTAGTATAGTATTATGAGACATTGTGGAGAAATTTCATGAATGTTTAACATTGACACAAGTTTCTCTCCAGATATGCAGAAGTTTCCTCTGAGAATGAAGGATAATGATTTACTTGTGACAGAGCTCTACCATGATCCATCAAATGATATTATCACTGCTATCTCTGTTTACCTTACACCAAAAACAAGTAAGGTTCTTTGTCTTCTTTTACTACTTGTATTAATACAGTATTTATATAAAGATCACCAAGTAGAAGCTTAGTATTGGTATTTTGTTGACATTCCCATACTTTGTGCTTGTTGCTGACCATTTATCCAGTGGTTAAATTATGCATGATGGAGGAAAAAAGGTGGGATGGTGCATTGAGGTATCTGTAGAGACAGAGAATGTTATCCATGGAGACAAAGAAGGGAATGTGTGAGAGTATAGTGGTACCAACATTTTTACATGGGTGTGAAGCATGGGTTGTAAATGCTGCAGTAAGGAGGAAGCTGGAGGCAGTGGAGATGTTGTATCTAAGGGCAATGTGTGGTATAAATATGAAGAGAATTCGTAGTGTGAAAATTAGGAGGAGGTGTGGAGTTACTAAAAGTATTATTCAGAGGGCTGAGGAGGGGTTGTTGAGGTGGTTTGCTCATTTAGAGAGGATGGAACAAAATATGATGACTGGAGGATGTATAAATCTGTAGTGCAGGGGAGGAGAGGTAGGGGTCATCCTAGGAAAGGATGAAGGGATGGGGGTAAAAGAGGTTTTGTGTGCAAGGGGCTCGGACATACAGCAGGCAAGTCTGAGCATGTTAGATAGGAGTGAATGGAGACGAATGGTTTTTGGAACTTGACGAGCTATTGAAGTGTGAGCAGGGTAATATTTTGTGAGGGGATTCAGGGAAACTGGTTAGCTGGACTTGAGTCCTGGAGGTGGGAAGTAAAATGCCTGCACTTTAAAGGAGGGATTTAGGTATTTGCTGTTTGGAGTGACATCTGAACTGTCATATCTTGCATGCCTCTGCAAAGACAGTGATTGTGTGAGTGTTTCTTTCTTTTTTGAGCTATGCTGCCTCTGTGGGAGATGGCTGGCTTGTTGGAAAAAAATTTACAAATTATGTTAATGCTTACCATATTGTTCACAGTGTATTTTAGGCATAATGGTTAATGTTGCCTCTTTAGATCAGAAACTGTCACTTCCTTCAGTATTTTAATTTCTTTATAATTTTAGAATATAAATGTCATACCAGATCTTGATTGCTCTTCCTTGAAGTTTATTTATGTATTAGTGCACAAACATATAAACCATAAATTTCATTAACATAGAACCATGAATTTCACTCAGATGTATGTGGCAATTGGATTGAGATTGCATATGGCACCAGTTCTGGAACAGTAAGAGTTATAGTTCAGCACCCAGAAACCGTTGGTCATGGACCTCAACTCTTCCAGACATTCACAGTTCATAGATATCCTGTGACAAAGGTGAGATCTGCCAAATATTGTATGATAGCTTTCAAGTCAGGAGCTCTTAGATGTTACACAAGCTGATGTTCTGTACTTTTTTTTTTTTTTTCAGAATTTTTGTTCCATGGCATATCTTACACTTGCACAGTACTTAGGTTTCTCTTTTAATAAATCAATGCACCATGCTTAGAATTTGATTTTGGTGTAATTATAATAGGACTAATTTATGTTTAAACCCATATGATGTGGCAGCACATGAAATATCTGACATTATTATATATAGTGGGTTATAGACATATCTTGGGGAATAATGGTATTCATGCTTAGTTGTATTCATCTTGGTGTTGCCACAACTAGAGTGGGGGTATTGCAGAGAGTATGAAGGTTTATGGGTTGAGTGTTGTGGTATCTGATTTCAGGGTATGTTTGTATAACCAAAGGCTTGCACACCAGCTAGCAGCTAGGTACCATGGTTCACCTCTTATCCCATGCCTGGCGGCATTTGCCATGAAACAATAGGGTCATATTAAACAAATGTGATGGATGTTAAACATGGTGGTTCCCGTAAAAATTACTAGTGTAAAAAAAAAAAATTGTTTAAGGTGTTAGAGGTATGGCTTGCTTTCACTAAAAATTTACAAATTATGTAAAGAATTATGCACATAAAAATACAAATATCTAAAAAAAAATCCATAATGTGAAAATAAAAATAGAGAAGTAAATGGTATATTATAGTGCATAATAATGTAGTAGTAATAATTTGCATTATGAAAATTGCTACAAAATACTGTATGATAGGAGTAAAAAATTCATCTTTGTAGTGTTGCCTTGGGCAGGAGAAGCTATTCAGTTTAATTTGTATACTGATTATTGCACAATAAATTTATGGTGGTATTGTTGACCTACTTCTTTTCTGATCCATAGGTAACCCTCTCAGAAAAATTGCTTATAAGTGTGTGCAGTGAATATAACCACGTACGCACCTGGTCTGTCACACGCTTCAGGGGCATGATTTCCACACAGCCTGGATCAACACCTCTTTCCTCTTACAAAATTCTAACCATTGATGAGGTTGATCCCAATATCTACTATGCCATTGCAAATGACTGTGGTAAGCTTAAATATTGTATACAGTGCACTGATTAATTCACTATTTCTGTTACTCGCAAATTAATTGTTTCATTTAATGAATGTAAGGAGCATTGATGGAGGTAATAGGTTGGTAGACAGCAACTGCCATGGAGGTACTACTATCCTGCCAAGTGATTGTGAAATGGAAACCTGTAAATTTTTTACATGATGGTAGGATTGTTGGTGTCTTTTTTCTTTCTGTCTCATAAATATGCAAGGTTTCAGGTGTGTCTTGCTACTTCTGCTTACACTTAGGTCACACTACACATGCATGTACGAGCATATATATACACACACCCTTCTGGGTTTCTTCCATATTCTTACTAGTTCTTGTTGTTTACTTCCGCTTATCTCCATGGGGTAGGGGATGGAACAGAATTCTTCCTCCACAAGTCATACGAGGTGACTAAAATGCCAGGAGTAAGAAGCTAGTACCCCCTTCTCCTGCATATATTACTAGATTTGAAAAAGAGAAACTTTCGTTTTTCTTTTTGGGCCACCCTGCCTTGTTGGGATATGGCCGGTTTGTTGAAAGGAGGAGGATTGATGAATTTGATGTGTGCAACATAAAGATATCTCTACTTTGTAGACATTTCACCATCCAGTGGCTTTATCAGTACAATACATGGACATAATCTGAAGACTAGAAATATATACTGAAGAAAGTGGAAGATGAGGTAATCAGTCCCTTAGCCTAGGAGCAAGTGATGAGCACTGTAGTCTTGAAGAATCTGAAACACAGGCAAGAAGATTGGCACTTGTATATTTGGTACAGAGGACATCTCTACACCCTATTTACTAACTCTTGGCCCAACTATTAGGCATGTCCTACTTCCACTGGAAAATCCCACCTAATAATGACAATGCCTTCGTCTGCTGTACTTTGTCTGATTCCAGGATATAAGTGCCACTCTTCTACATGACATAGTTTGTATAGAAATAGATGACATATAAATAACATTGCACATGGAAAGCCCCTTGTTATGCAGAGCATTTTGGGCAAGCTTGAACCTAACTTGAGATTTTAAGGGTAAAGCAGCTGGAACTGATGGGATCATGACAGAAATGTTAAAAGCAGGGGGGGATATAGTGTTGGAGTGGTTGGTACTTTTGTTTAATAAATGTATGAAAGAGTGGAAGGTACCTAGGGATTGGCAGAGAGCATGTATAGTCCCTTTATATAAAGGGAAAGGGGACAAAAGAGATTGTAAAAATTATAGAGGAATAAGTTTACTGAGTATACCAGGAAAAGTGTACGGTAGGGTTATAATTGAAAGAACTAGAGGTAAGACAGAATGTAGGATTGCGGATGAGCAAGGAGGCTTCAGAGTGGGTAGGGGATGTGTAGCTCAAGTGTTTACATTGAAGCATATATGTGAACAGTATTTAGATAAAGGTAGGGAAGTTTTTATTGCATTTATGGATTTAGAAAAGGCATATGATAGTGGATAGAGGAGCAATGTGGCAGATGTTGCAAGTATATGGAATAGGTGGTAAGTTACTAAATGCTGTAAAGAGTTTTTATGAGGATAGTGAGGCTCAGGTTAGGGTGTGTAGAAGAGAGGGAGACTACTTCCTGGTAAAAGTAGGTCTTAGACAGGGATGTGTAATGTCACCATGGTTGTTTAATATATTTATAGACGAGGTTGTAAAAGAAGTAAATGCTAGGGTGTTCGGGAGAGGGGTGGGATTAAATTATGGGGAATCAAATTCAAAATGGGAATTGACCCAGTTACTTTTTGCTGATGATACTGTGCTTATGGGAGATTCTAAAGAAAAATTGCAAAGGTTAGTGGATGAGTTTGAGAATGTGTGTAAAGGTAGAAAGTTGAAAGTGAACATAGAAAAGAGTAAGGTGATGAGGGTATCAAATGATTTAGATAAAGAAAAATTGGATATCAAATTGGGGAGGAGAACTATGGAAGAAGTGAATGTTTTCAGATACTTGGGAGTTGACGTGTCAGCGAATGGATTTATGAAGGATGAGGTTAATCATAGAATTGATGAAGGAAAAAAGGTGAGTGGTGCGTTGAGGTATATGTGGAGTCAAAAAACGCTATCTATGGAGGCAAAGAAGGGAATGTATGAAAGTATAGTAGTACCAACACTCTTATATGGATGTGAAGCTTGGGTGGTAAATGCAGCAGCGAGGAGATGGTTGGAGGCAGTGGAGATGTCCTGTCTAAGGGCAATGTGTGGTGTAAATATTATGCAGAAAATTCAGAGTGTGGAAATTAGGAAAAGGTGTGGAGTTAATAAAAGTATTAGTCAGAGGGCAGAAGGGGGTTGTTGAGGTGGTTTGGTCATTTAGAGAGAATGGATCAAAGTAGAATGACATGGAAAGCATATAAATCTATAGGGGAAGGAAGGCAGGGTAGGGGTCGTCCTCGAAAGGGTTGGAGAGAGGGGTAAAGGAGGTTTTGTGGGCGAGGGGCTTGGACTTCCAGCAAGCGTGCGTGAGCGTGTTAGATAGGAGTGAATGGAGACGAATGGTACTTGGGACCTGACGATCTGTTGGAGTGTGAGCAGGGTAATATTTAGTGAAGGGATTCAGGGAAACCGGTTATTTTCATATAGTCGGACTTGAGTCCTGGAAATGGGAAGTACAATGCCTGCACTTTAAAGGAGGGGTTTGGGATATTGGCAGTTTGGAGGGATATGTTGTGTATCTTTATACATATATGCTTCTAAACTGTTGTATTCTGAGCACCTCTGCAAAAACAGTGATAATGTGTGAGTATGGTGAAAGTGTTGAATGATGATGAAAGTATTTTCTTTTTGGGGATTTTCTTCCTTTTTATGGGTCACCCTGCCTCGGTGGAAAACGGCCGACTTGTTGAAAAAAAAAAAAAATTAATGTATGTATATAAAGACATTAAAGATTTACACAGTAAAATTAATTCAATAAATGTGATAACAAATATAAATGTAAGCAGTAGCATGGTACATAATAAGAAAAATTAGTTGGCTTAGTTTAGTCAGATGCGTTATTAGGTACAATTCTTTAAAACATTGTAATTCATTTTTAAATGTGAATCTATCAATTAGTATATTTAATCTTTCACTTTCTTTCTATATTCTTACAATTTCCATGCTAGTATTGTGTGGGTGGGTGTTAAGGATTCCTGCAACTACCGCATCAACTTAACTTACTTGCTACACTGTTAATGCTGCACTTTATCGTTGGCTGGCGCTATAGCCTTTATCAACTCCTGCTGCTTTTGTATCATACATATATTGTAGAATCACTGAAGAAGGCACATTCTCCTCTCTCTGTCTCTCTCTCTGTCTGTCTGTCTCTGTCTCTCTGTCTGTCTGTCTGTCTGTCTCTCTCTGTCTCTCTCTGTCTCTCTCTCTCTGTGTCTCTCTCTCAGCCCTTTACCAAAGGGCTGGCTGGCACTAAGAACTTTCTTTGGGCACATAGTGGTTTATTTCACAGTCACAATTAATAAACAAGCATCAAAAACAAGGGATTACCACGAAATGTTTTGGAATGCATGAAGTAATGCTCACTCGCCAGTGACAGAGGCAGACCGAGATGAGTAATGGCAACGTCCCTGGGCGGGCAGATCAAGGTCCGATATCTGGAACAAAATTTTGCAAAAAAAAAAAAAAAAAAAAAAAAAAAAGTCCTAAAACTGAAGTGTTCGATAACTGGAGTGTGCGAAAACCGGAATTCCGCTGTAGTTTTATCTGTTTTTTCCCCGACTAATCACTGTGTTTGCTTATACATGGCCATCTACACATTCTTCACAATCCCTTCTAAATCAAAATATAATGATGCTCAGGTTCTATTGCTGTATTTTTTCATTATATAATGTACCTAATAGTATATACGGTATTTCAGGGCCTTACGGCGAGCAGGATGATGAGCAGGTGTTTATCCAAAAAGTGGTTCCTGAGACAGACCAACTATTTGTTCGGCTTGCTAGCAATGGCAAGAGGTAAGAGATTTAAAAAAAAAAATGTATGGTACAGTAGGTGGTATGGGCTGATCTTACTGTGAATTTGAGGGTTTCAGAGTAAGGCTTTACCTATTACACAGGTATAATAGATAGGTTAGTAGGCAACAACTACCATCCTGCCATACAAGTGTGAAACGGATACCTGTTAAATATTTTACTCTGCAGGAGTGTCAGTCTTTTCTTTTTATCTTGTATACAATGATGGGTAAATCCTACAAATGCTTCTTTTGCCCCTGCTCAGACCTGATTAATCCTTTCACTGTCATCATACAGATGTACGTTTTTGATACCAGGGTCCCTCATGTAGATCTGTCATGAGCTCATCTCTTTCAGATAAGTTGAGAGCAGTAAATTTTGTTCTGGATATGAGAAAATGGGTCTGCGCCGTGTGTACAGCATAAAAAATCCTGTCCCATGCAGTACATGAAGGAAAAAGCAAAACTCTGACCTTGTTTGGTTTAAAATAGCAAATTTGGTGTTTTCTAGAATGTTTTTTGCAGTTTTATTGGCCATTTTTAGGTATCATTGGATAGAATAGAAGATATACTACTGAAATATATTTGATTTTAGATGGTTAAAGGACAGGAAGTGGCTTGAAATCGGCCTCAGAGTCACAGAAATGTTCAATTTTTGTAGATTTTCCTGAGGGTAGTTAATGCCCCTTACACCCCCCCAGTCTGTTTTATGATTTTTACTACGTCTGATTCAATTATTGGGATGCTGTAAACCACGACCAATTATTCCATATTATATTTTATTATCCAAGAAATATGGTAAATCATTGATTTTTTGTGAATTCAAGATGGAAGGCAAGTGTAATATAGAAAAAGCCTGGGAACATCAATTGAAAAGAGGAAATATTTTAGTGTCTGGATTATCTACAGTATTTATTCTGGGCTCTGTTTTTAAATTGTAATTTTTTTAATTGTGTAAAATTTAATAAATAATATATAGTGGAACCTCAGTTTTCGTCTTTAATTCGTTCCAGAAAGTCCGACGAAAACCAAATTTGACGAAAACTGAAGCAATATTTCCATAAGAAATAATGTAAATCCAGTTAATCCATTCCAAACACCCAAAAGTATTAACAAACAATGTTTTATAGAGAATATAGTTTTACTTAAGAAACAGTGAGAAATAAATACAAAGGACTAATGAAATGGATAAATGAACATTTAATATAACTCTTACCTTTATTGAAGACACTTGTTGGCGTATGGAAGACAGGCGAGGAGGGGAGAGGGAGGAGGAGTTATTGTTTTGAAGGGGAATCCCCTTCCATAAAGCCTTCAGGTATCAAGTCCCTATCCAGGGTTACTTCCCTACATTGTCTTTTACTGGCACTAGGACCAGCTTGGAGTCACTGGACCCCTGTTACACAAAAAATCTGTCCAGAGAGGTCTGTTTCTGGCATCTCTTTAAGATTTGCCTAGAATGGGACAAGGCATTGTTATTGGACATGTTGTAGACATGGCTTGCAGCAGCTTTGATAAGGTGATATTTCTCCACAAAACTTTGCAACTCACTCCACTTTGCACATGTCCTTAATCACTTAAGAAGGCACATTCTCCCGCTCTTTCTCCTCCTCTGAAGCAAGCCATTGAAGAGCTGTTCCAGCTCTTCAGTGGTTAGCTCTTCCCTGTGGTCGTCCACCAACTCGTCCACATCCTGGCCACTCGCATCCAGTCCCATGGACTTCCCCAAAGTCGCAATAGATTCCACAACAGGTGCAGGGTTGTCAGGGTCAGCCTCAAACCCTTCAAAATCCTTCTCTTGGATACATTCTGGCAACAATTTTTCACCTTATTTATCAAAGGGCTGGCACTCAGAACTTTCTTTGGCCCCATGGTGGCTTATTTAACCCCTAAACTGTCCAAACATAGATCTACGTTCACTTGCATAGTGCTCCAAACACAGATCTTTGTTTAATTTTTTTTACATGCTTTCAAATGGGGAAAATTAAGGTCGGAGCGCTACGTTTGTAAACGTAGATCTACGTTTGGACAGTTTAAGGGTTAACAGTCGCACTCGATAAACAAGCACAAAAAACAATGGATTATTACAAAATGTTTCCTGTGAAAGTGCAGGGTAATGTTCACTCGACGAGAAACAAAGGCAGACTGACTCAGAATGCGTGCATGGGGTGCTTTATGTGGGTGCGGGCAGACAGACACGTTTGGTACAGGGGACAAAAACCGAGGTGATGAAGGAAAACTGGGACAAAATTTTGATGAAAAAAAGTCACAAAAATCAAATTCGACGAAAACCAGGGCAAACGAAACCAGAGGTTCCACTGTGATAATAATAATATTTACTACAAGTACATGTACAACGGTATATAGGCCTAGCTGACATCAATGACATACTACTATATAGAAAGCCGCTTGTTATACAGCGCATTTTGGGCAAATTAGGTCACTTTTGTCCCAAGATGCGACCCACGCCAGTCGACTAACACCCAGGTAGCCATTTTACTGATGGGTGAACCAGACAACCGGTGTAAGGAAAGACATCCCATGTTTCCACCCCTTCACCAGGAATCAAACCCGGACCCTCACAATGTGAAGCAAGAGCTTTTACCACTGGGCCAAATTACTAGCTTCTGTGTACTTTATAGAGTAGTTTTGATAACTAAATGGGCAATTTCTTGTGCTCAGTCGATAGAATGGAAAGCATACCAGGGAAATAGCAAAGAATTTGGTCAAATTAAGCAGTGGAATTGGCATAAATTAGGACTCAAATTGGGCAAAAATCACCAGTGCATAAATTGTACCCAGACTGCTAAATTTGCTCCTGCATAATTCCATAAGTTTTCCATCAAATTTCATACTTTTGATGCTGTTGTCTTTAGAAAAAGATTCTTTGCCATTTCAGGATAAAAAATCATTTTTTTCTCTTTTTGAAAAATGTGGACACTGAGTGCTTTTAACCCTTTCAGGGTCCAAAGGCCAAATTTCCAAGTGCACACCAGTGTCCAAGAGTTTTCAAAAAAATAATTTTATTTTTTCTTACGAAATGGTAGAGAATCTTTTTCTGAAGGTAATAAAACAAAAAGTACAAAATTTGATGGAAAATTGCCGAAATTATGCTCTTGCGAATTTTGATGTGTCGGCGATATTTACGCATCGGTGATTTTGGCTCCCATTTTAGGCCAATTATATTACTCCAGTCGACCAAATTCTTAGTTATTTCACTAGTATTACTTCTATTCTATCGATTGAGCACAAGAAATCACCAAGTCAACTGTTCCAACTACAAAATAAAGTGATTGGAAACTGGTAATTTGGCCAATTTAATGCAAAGTTCAAAATATTTTAATTTCAAAATAGGGTCCAGGATAAACAATGCAGGCATTCCTGGAACTAAACTAACATTTCCTCTGTTGATTAGTTACGTTATCAGGCTTTACAAATGGATTCCATTTTGATTTTTTATTCACATAATGAATATTTATTCAAACCAAAAAATTAGAAGATTTACTGTTATGCAATACTGTAATAATTGTATAAATAATATCACCACATTTGTGAACATATGTTAGACTGACCAGCTGGCGTGTATTAGACGTGTGGGATCATTTGTTTACTCTTGAACATCAGCAAAAATTTAACATTTCTGCTATTTTGAGCTCAGTTTCAACCCATTTCCATTACAAAAACCAATCAAAATCATCTCTATTTCTGTAATATATCTTCCATTCTATCAAATGAGACCAAGAAATCGCAAATACAACTATAAAAACGTACGAAAAAACACTGCAAAGTCACTGTTTTAATCGAAAATTAGGGTCTTTTTTTTTCTCATTATGCACTGCGTGCTGCAGGATTTGTTTTATGTGGTGCACACATACCACATAGATGTATTCTCTCATATCTAGGCCCAAATTTACCACTCACAGCTTATCAGAGTGAGCTGAGCTCATAGCGTAGGTCTACGGTTTGGACCCTCAACGTATAGCCATAGATCTACAGCATGGACTCTCAAAGGGTTAATTTCAGGGCTTTACACAGTGAGGGGGGAGGCTAAGGGCAAAAGATATTGATAAGGTGGTTTTGGCATAGGGAGGATAGAGCAGAATGAGAACCAAGAGAATGCATCATAAATCTGGGGTGGAAGGAAGGAGGGGTAGGGTCATCCCAATAATGGTTGGAGGGAAGGAAGGAGTAAAGGAAGTTTTAAGTGCTTGTGGCTTCATCATCCAGCAGGCTCATGTCAGCACGTTGGATCAGAGTTTAATGTGCAGTTTGAGTGTGAGCAAGGTAACATTTATGAAGGAATTCAGGAAAACCAGGTAGCCAGACTTGAGCTCTGGAGGGTAAAATTTAATTTTTTTTTTTATATCCTGTCATTGTATTTACAAAATATACAATAACCTGAAAGCCCATAGAATGCACAGTATTTGAGTCAAAACTTAGTCTAATTTCAAGAACAAGGTATTATTATTATTATTTTAATCAAAAAGAAGCAGTAAGCCACAAGGGCTATACAGCGCTGCAGGGTAGGGAAGGAAGCGAGGGTATTGGGCGGTAGAAGGCGGGAGGCATGATCAGTAGGTTACAGAAAACAGCGGGGCAGGGGATAGTACAGGGGTAGAGGACAGCAAGAGATTGAGGTAGAAAGGGCTGAAGGTATCATCAGAGTTTGTGAAGTAAGTCAGCTGTTGTCAAAAAGTCAATGAGAGAGTCAGGATGAAAGGTGGGTCCATCAGCGAGAAGGGAAGGTAAAGAGAGAGCAACGGAGCGAAGACGATGTTGGAGGTATATTCTGCGTGCTCGTTGATAAAGTGGGCAGTCTAATAGAATGTGGCTGACCGATAATGGAACCTGACAATTCTCAGAGAGGAGCAGGGCGCCTCTCCATGAGATATCCATGAGTAAGACGAGTATGGCCAATGCGAAGGCGGGAGAGAGTAGTCTCCCAACCTCGGCACTGGTGGCAAGAAGACGGCCAGTAACCTATACTCGGTTTAATAGAACAAA